AGGGCCAATGTCACAAAGCTTCGATTAACTAATCGGCCTAGTAACTTTGCAGGCTTTCAACTGAAACTGATGTCGGAGTATTAATGTGAGCTCAGTTCCGACATCAACTTCAGTTGGAAGCCTGCAAAGTTATTAGGCCGATTAGTTAATCGAAGCTTGATGACAGTGGCCCTTACTCGGCGTATTTTAGCGGCAAGTTTGAAATTGAGAATACCAAAAAGAGTTCCGAAGAACCATTCGGTCGCGGCGGACGCGTTTCGGATCGGGTGCTTTTTATTTTATATTTTTGAAAGTGTTGCTAACTTTGACTGAGCATAGTATTACATTGACGTGTGCCTGAGAATGAGCTCGTCTCGATAGTTCGTTTTGATGGCTAGGACTCCTATGACGCGCGTTATTGCAATGTGACGACGCCGTAAACGCAGACGCCCGGAGACCGTTCGAGCAATGCCATTTTCGCGGGCATTACATCACTCGTTTGTTTTCATATATTTATACGGTTTACATTAAAGACGTGATCTGACCGTATAGACCTTCTATTTCATTGAGCCATTAATTAAAGAAGAAGAAGAAAAGAAATGACTGACAATAAGCTAAATATTGTAGAAGCGGACATAACTCGCCACACATTGGTGACAAGAGAGAACGGAGAGATTATCCGTGCTGATGGGCATATTGTAGTGTTCGACAATATTGGTAAGTACATGATGATTAAATGTAAACAGAAACTATGAGAGAGACTCTAAGTCAATTCTCCTATACAATTTTCTGTTTTTAATAATATTTTTCTTTAATAGATAATAATATGTACTGCGTTCTCGAAAATGAAAAAAATCTTCAGCTTTTCGGTCTTATACCAGCTACATTACAGCTTGATGATATAGGTATATATTAAATTTTAATCATAGAGTCAAAAATAGTGTGATTACTGATCTAATAACCGATTATTATTCTTATATGTTGCAGTTTCTGAATTAAGCATTTCGTCATTGGAGACCTCATGTTCACCCATTGTAACATGTTTACCAGAAGCAGAAATTGTGAAGAAAACAACCAAAGAAAAAGGTAAGAATGAGTTGTTATAGACCTAGTTTACACTCAGCCGTCCAATCCCGATTCACTTCAAAGTGAAGTGAAATTTCTTGGGTGTAAACGGATTAGTTTCGACTGATTTCAATCCTCTTTTCTCAGCGGAGTAGAGCGAATCCGGTGTAAACATTCCATAAATCCACTTCACTTCGAAGTGAATCAGGATTGGACGGCTGGGTGTAAACTAGGTCATAGGCTGTGTTCCAAATTTACTATCAGCTGAAAATTTACAGTTTACGTTATGTGCACTATAGATTTTCAATACTAGCAGTTTTTTTTCAATTTTGAAACAGTTATAGTAATGATGAGTCAGTAAAACTATACGCATAATTATAATTATATACTCTTAATCTATATATGTTTCAGTTAAGTGGACTAAAAATGCTGTTCTAGCACTAATCACATCCTGGAAAGCTAATCAGCCAAAATTCCAGAACAGTATAAGGAACGATGTAGTATGGAATATAATTGCCTAGGATGTCAAAGAAACAAGACTCATAGTTAACGCCATTCATATCGAAAACAAGTGGAAAAATATAAGGAAAGCGTACATGGCTGTTAAGCAAGTTTAATGGAATGAAGAGAACATTCAAATCTATCAAAGATCACAATTCTAAGTCAGGAAATAATCCTCGATCTTGGCCTTATACTGAAGTGATGGAATCTTTGTTAGGAGAAAAACCTTTTATGAATCCTGTTGCTTTGGCTTCTTCTTCGAAAACTGATACAAGTAGTGATGACAATAATGATATCTCTCCCCTTAATATTTCTATTAGCTCTTCAAATTCACGCAAGAAAAAGAATTCGGAAATTGCAGAGGCCATTATAAAAAGTCGAAAGATAGCCGAAGAAAATAAATTACAACGTCATCAGCAGACAATGAATCAGCGGACTGAAATCCTAAATATTTTAAAAAACCTTGATAAATTTTAAGTATGTAATTTTTTAAACAAAAATTATTAATTTTTAATTATTTTATACTTAAATTTCAATTTTTACATTTTAATTTTATTTTTGTTAGTAGAAGAAAGCATGTTATGATCTCCATGATTAATTCCTGTAATGATAAAACTAAACTGTACTTTATGATATTAAATATGTTTTAAATTTATGATACTAATCTATGTTTTAAAAGTTAAAATAAAATATTTTTATTTTTGTAATGAAAAGTAAAATAAGATAATATTATTTTTTAGATACACCAGAAATCAGTATTAAAGCAAGACATTTTTTTGTGATATAGAAAGTAACATAGATATATCTGTTTTTATGAATAAGATATTAAATAATATATCTCTAGTTTTAAAAGTTTATAAGAAATATCTTATTTTTCTATATATTTAATGTAAAAAATTATATAAGATTTATGACCAGTTATTGACTGATGTGTGAAATAAATACTATGTATAATATTGAATAGAATATAATAATTTATTTCTAATAACATAAATCTTGTTTAAAAAAATATAATTATATATAATAATTATATATATGTAAGTATTATATATAATGCAAGTATTATATAAAATATAAGTATTATATATATAATAAAATTGCTATTATTAGAAATAAGTAACATTTATATCTTCTTATTTAGGTAAAGCGCATATCACAAAGTTACACATGCATTAAACATATCGCATAGGAAGTCTCTCACAAATTAAATCTCTTTTAGCAACATTTGTTCGTTCTTGTGGCGCAGCATTTTGATAAAAATAATTATTATTTTCTTCCTCATTAATTGCTTCAAGTTCGATGTTATCTCCTCTTAATAGGCAAACATTATGCATCACACAACATGCGATTATAAACATTGGGATTAAATCACTTCTATTCATTGCAAGAACAGTTCTTAAACTACGAAATCTTGTCTTCAATAATCCAATAGCCCTTTCAATCTCTATTCTGGCAGAAGAATGGCAGAAGTTGAAGTTTTTTTGTCTTAGAGTGAGATGTCCATTGTCACGATAGGGAACAATGACATTTTGGTGTAGTTTATATGCAGCATCTCCGAGAATGTGACAATCGTCGGGAAATTTTTCAGAATTCCCTAACCACTCTTGCAATTCCGATAACCGAAATACTCGCTGGTCGTGCACAGATCCTGGATGTCCTGCGAAGCAATGAGTAAACTGTGTTTTATGATTACATACTACCTGAAAAAAACAAAAAGCTTACATAAACCTACATTATATTTACATACACGTACACACACACTGCATACCTGCAGTTGGACAGGATGGTACCCTTTACGATTTACATATAATGCTGGTTGAATACGAGGAGCTGGAATATTTATATGAGTACCGTCTATTGCGCCGATAACTTTCGGAAAACCACTATTAGCTTCAAATCCAGCTAAAACTTCATTGACATTGTTGCCTGATGGCCATTTGATGACAGCTGGTGCCAAATCATATAAAGCTTTTACAACTCTTCGTGTAGCACCAAGAGCAGTAGCTCGACTGACGTCAAACTTTTCACATATTGATCTAAAAAAAAATTAGCAATCGTAGACCAGCGATTACTACAATTGTACTTAAAAAATATCAATTTCATATGTAATACTCACCTATAAGAATCAGGAGTTGCCATGCGTCATATCGCAATAAGAAATTGCTTCTCAGGAGAAATCATTGGTCGTCCAGTATATATTCTTTTCAATTTTGGAGCGATAATAGTAAATATATATTCGAATGTATCTTTAGATATTCTGCGTCATAAAATAAAAGTACAGGACAAAATTTTTAATAAATAAATGCATGAATGCACATACAAAAATAACTAAGGTTAGGTGCATGTAATTACTTATACAAATATGCCATGTACAATTTTCAAATTACCTAAAATGTGATTTGAATTGTTGATCACTATAGGCAGGTACAATGTTTTCTACATAGTTTTCCAATCTTAACAGCTTCTTTCTTCTTTCCTGCACGTTTATAATATGTTCTAATACATCTTCTTCTTCACTTTCTGATGATGATGTAAAATTAATAATCTCCATCAAAGTTATTGCGATTCCACGCAAAATTGCAACCTGTTGCGGTGTTAAGACAATACGGTTATCTTCGTCCATTTTGTCACAATTTGTCGTACTGCTCACGGATAACAATGCAATAAAAGTCGTTCGAAGAGCTTGCAATCATAAGCGCCTGTAAGCACCACGATAGCTCCACGAACAACTGAATTGGCGTTAGCGTCTCATAGCGCGAATAGCGTCTTCTCGAACACACCCTTAACCTTAACCTGATTTAGTCCTAAATGAATCAAGCCGTTTACAGCGCAATAGAAACTTTTGATAGGCGTACATACATACCAACTTGGTCTGATACTCGTGATCGGGAGTATCAGATTAAAATGATGCCCTAGCGTTTATACCGAGCGTATCAAATGATTTGGTACGAATATGGTACTTAATACGCGTATCAAGTACTCGGTTTCACTTTTCACGATTCTGCAGTCTGCTCTAGGGAAAAGTTACATAATCGCTGCTCAGATTTGTCCTGTTCGTTCAGAATAAAACGTCCAAATGTGTGACGTTTTCATTATCTGTGGACACCCTTGTCCGGACGAAAAATTTTCATTCTAAACGCACCCCAGGTATTGAGTCTCAAATCGAACTTGTGATCGAAGTCAACCCGACCCGGAGTCAGGTCGAGTCGGTTAAACGAAAACGCTATATCATTCGAAGCACGGAAGTGTCTCTCGAATGGGGAATTGTATTCATTATTTACTGCAGAAAATTTTCTTCAGTTTTCTACGCACAATATTCGAGTTTTTCTGCGCATAATATTTACGCATAGAATGTATTACCTGGTTTATGCTTCGGTCTTAATCCTAAAATTTCAAAATTCAGCCAATGGAATACAGATTTCAGTTAGGACTGGCGGCTGAATTTTTTTTTATTCAAACTGTTTATTAGCTGTACGCGAAATGATTCCTTCTAGTAAAGTTCTGATCGTGATGTGCGGATTAATAAAAAAATTGCGGTTGAGTGAAGATATTTTTTATCAACAAAAATTACGACAAAAAATCGCAAAATTATACATTTTTTATAAAATAAAACGAAAGAGGGAATGCACACAACGAACATGTTGGATTCACCCAACATTCACTTGCGAAAGACGATTTCTACAAGGAGCCAGTGATAATTTTATTAGGGAAACGGAAAATGAAGATGTTAAAAACGAAGATGTTAAATATTACGTACAGTAATTCTTCAGAATAACTTCCTCACCTCCGATTTCGATAAAATTATTCTGCTAGATTCTTTCATTTTATGCAAAACAAGTCGAATAATCCTAATTTCATCGAAATGAGAGGTGAGGAAGCTCTTCTGAAGAATTACTTTGTATATACTTACAATATTTTCAATGTTTGCCATGTTGGGTTAAAATGTAAACACAAACATATAAGGTAAATGTACCAGTTCGTGGACACGACCCAATTGTGACAATTTTAAATATTAAGCTTTTGATGATATGTGTTACTCTAAATAAATTTTTAAGCAATTTTTCATATTATTTAGAAATTAAGTATTATATAATTTATTCATATTAAATATAATACTTTTGTAAAAAAAATTTCGTTTATGGACAATCGTCCATTTATTAGGACATTCACACATATGCGTGTCAATTATTGGACATTCCTTAGCGTACCTGTCTACTGCAAACATATTTTGTATATATTACATATAAAACTTTATATAAAACTTCACTAATCACAACTTCGATAAACTTTTTTGAACAATCTTGATTGATAAGAGAGTAAGTAAAATACGATTCTCTTTTATAATAAGAAAATTGCTTATTGTTTGTCCAATAAGGTCATACTTTTGTGGACACAGAAACACGTCACATTTTTTGTCCAATAATTAGGACATTTGAATCATATTATGTTTATGACTAAATACAATTTATAATAAACGCAAATAACATATTTGATAATGGATTTATAGTTTCAGAAAACATCCATTCTTACTAAGCATGTGTAATAAACTAAAATTTTAATGTTTCTAAAGTTTAAATAAATGATTTCGTCGTGCAATTCCTTAACTGTCCAATAACCGGTACATTTTACCCTACTTACAATATTTTCAATGGTTGCCATGTTGAGTTAAATTAAAATGTAAACACAAACATATACAGTTTATATCTCTGCGGAATCCGTTAAATATAAAGAAAATTCGCGGAAAGAAAATGACGAAAATGGCGGACGAAACAACGACCAATCACGTCAATTCCGCCAATTCCGCATTTTCGCAGATCCGCTCCATCTGAGTGCACCCTTCACTGTTCCGTTCTGTTTTAATTTTCGCTCCATGCCACGCCACACCCTCAGAGTTCCGAAGAAACACTCCACCAAGGCGGACGCGTTTCGGATCGGGTGCTTTTAATTTAATATTTTTAAAAGTATTGTCGACTGTGCAATCGTTTATACAGGACCTAGTGTCTGTCCGCGAATTGTGTTCATTACGTTCGTTCGCGGGTTATTTTGGTGTGACGACAACGTCGTAAATTCAGGCGCCCGGTGTCCGTTCGGGTAACGCCATTTTAGCGGCGTCACCCCTTTACGTTACGTAAATCTGGCTGTATTGCCTCCACATACAAATTAAAAGAGGCAGGTGCCATTGGGCGAGCTCAAGACGGCAAAGCGGCTAGGTACGCTTGCTGAGCGATTAAACGTAATTGATTATTTCTTATAGATCCAACCAATCATATTTGATCGCTCGGCAAGCGTACCTAGCCGTTTGCCATCTTGAACTCGCCCATTAACAAGTTCCGAATAACCGCTCGACCGAGGCGGACGCGTTTCGGATCGGGTGTTTTTAATTTAATATTTTTGAAAGTGTTACTGACTTTGATTGCGTAATTGTTTAAACAGGACCTGGTGCGTGTCCGCGAATTGTGCTCATTTCGTTCGTTCGTCGAAATTATCCTGACGCGGATAATTTCGGCGTGACGACGTCGTAGACTCAGGCGCCCAGTGTCTGTTCGGGCAACGCCATTTGCGCGGCATGCATCACCCCTTTACGCGTTTACGTTAAGTGAATCTGGCCATATTGGCTACGTTCAGCAGATAAAGCAGCTTTGCAACTGTTGCAAAATTCTTTAATATGATTGACTTGTACATTTAGATCTAATGAGGAAGTAAGGGCAAAACCTATCATATTAAAGAATTTTGCAACAGTTGCAAAGCTGCTTTTTCTGCTGAACGTAGCCAATATGGCCAGATTCGCGTAACGTAAACGTAAAGGGGTGATGCAATGCCGCGAAAATGGCGTTGCCCGAACGGACACCGGGCGTCTGAGTCTACGACGTCGCGTCGTCACGCCGAAATTATCCGCGTCAGGACGAACGAACGAAATGAGCACAATTCGCAAACACGCACCAGGAGGTCAATCATGTACTTTTTCCCCTAGGGCGGAAACGTGAAAAGTGAAAATTTTTTGCATGTATGTGTGTATATGTTCATACATACATTCATAAAAGTTTTCACTTTTCATGTTTCCGCCCTAGAGAAAAAGTTACGTGATTGACCCCCAGGTCCTGTGTAAACAATTACGCAGTCAAAGTCGGCAACACTTTTAAAAATATTAAATTGAAAGCATCCGTTTACACAGGACCTGGTGCGTGTCCGCGAATTGTGCTTATTTCATTCGTCCTGACGCGGATAATTTCGGCGTGATGACGTAAACTCAGACGCTTCGCAACAGTTGAGTCTGCTGAACGCGACCATTGTAAATGCTGGTAAGTCTGTTCTTATTTTAAAACCATCACAAATAATGTCTTAGGTTTACGGGTTATCGCCGTGTCTTTCTGCATTATTAATGCCAACGTTTCGTGAAGTATGCCGTTCACTTTTCACTCACAGCGAGGGGTGCGCTGATACTCAGCGCTGAGTAAAATGTCGCTCAAGCGTCGTGCGGCATTTGGAACGCGCGCGGTGAGGTGAGGGGGACAGCGGAAGACGGAGGCGATTCGTAAATCGGCCGATAGTTACATACATTTTATGTATGTTTACTTTGAACTGGTACCTTTAATTAATAGTAAATCAGTTACTTTTCGTGGTAATATTATACATTATTATTAGACAAAAAGATTTAAATTTTTTAGTTTCTTTTTTTGAACATGGCTTGAACTTTTCATTTTTATAATTATTAATTAATACATGCAATATGTAATACTGTATGTATATATTATGCTATATGAGTCATTCCATGCCAAGTGTGCCACTCGAAAACTTTTGGATTTTTGATTTGGCTGAAATTTTGATATATTATAGTATGTACCCATCGCAAGAAGCTACCATGATTTTTTTCGAATTTTTTTATCAACATAGTCATGAGATAAGAATTTTTTTCAAAATTTTTTTAAATTAATAGTATGTACCCATCGCAAGAAGCTACCATTTTTTCGAATTTTGTTATCAACATAGTCATGAAATATGAATTTTTTTCAAAATTTTTTCAAGATTCGCAATTTTCAAGTGCCTATAACTTTGCGAAAAATAATTCAAATAAATCGTTTTTTTTTTAAATAAACGTTTTTTTTTTTTTAAATTGTGTATTTTTTTCTCTAGTTTTCAAAAAAAATATCAAGAAAAGTTTCAAAATTGTTTTTTAATTTTTTTTTAATTTATTGTAAAAAATTATTAATTTTTTAAAGTATGACACGTTTAATTTTTTTTTTTTTAAAGGAAAAAGTAGTAGCCAGCGATGGACAATACTTTAATTAATCTATTCATTCATTTTGTTTAGAAATAAATGGATTTTTGAACACAAAACGCGGACCGAACTAATTTGTACACTGATGCCTGATCAGGCGCTCATTGAGACACCTAGTCCGACTCTGATCGT